GTAAGGTTGGGAGTGGTGGGAGGAGCATCTAATTCAGAGCCCTGTAACTAAGGGCAGTTTTCTGGTTCTCTCAATCACTGTGGTGGAAACTTGGCATCAGACATCTTATGCCATGATTTCTCCTTCAGAGTAGAGATACTGCTGCCTGATTATATTATCACATCCTTAAGAAAACAAGCTCTTGTATAAACTTCCTGTCTCAAGCACCCATCACAGCAGCATGCATATGCTTATGCATAAACAAAAATGCACATAAATGTACGCAACAATGATATAAAACCTATCTTACAGAGATTTTCACATGCCCTCCCTCATTCCATCCTACATCAGCCATGAGAAGTAGATATTGTTATCCTTTCTCTATAGTACAATAAACTATATCTCATGAAGACTGAGGCCACACAGCCAAACAGCAGGGAAGCTGACTGAGATGAGTCCCTGGACCTTCCCATTCTTGGTTCAGTGCTGGGCCTCCTTCCACAACAGCACAGCCCTAAGACAGACAGGAAAATCCCATGCTATCAGGCAATAGTTCATTTTTAGTGCACAACCTTTCCTACCTCAAAATAGCAAATCAACAGTACCATTACTGGAATGCATGCCTAGGCCTGAGCACCTTGAGAAGATTTCCACTTAAATTTCATAATAATACATTATTTTGTCACCATAGATATTTCAAATACTCTGAGAGAGTTAAGTAACTAAAGAGAAACTAGACATTCATGCCTTAATCTAAAGTTTTTCCTCTTGGCAATTAAGTGGAACCTTAAAGGTATGGGAAATTTTTTGTGGCATGTGAAAGAAGTGAAGACAAATAATTTTGGAGTTAGGTTATTCCCCCCAAGGAAAGGCCAGGCAGGAGCACCCCAGCCCTAAGCCAATGTGAGGAAGACTGGAGATAGGGAGCGGATAGGGCATATTCCCAGGTAGGAAAATCTTTACTTGAAAAAGTAAATTAAAATATTTTACATGTATTATAAGGTGACATGAATGGCATGTCAGAAAGGTGATTTCTTTATTTGGGCTCATAGACTCTGCTTTTCATTTTGAGAAATTAAGATTTCATGTTAGTATTATGGGTCATTCCTGATGACTCTGACGCTCATTAAACAATCCATCATCTATCCAAGTATTGGGTAAAATCCTTCTGGTCTATATCTTAATATCTCTCAAATCCATCCACCTCTCACCATCTCCACTCTTGTCTACTTCTAAACTGTTCTCCAGCCTATAATCAGAGATCTCTTTTAAAAGATACATTCCCTGCCCTGCCTGGTATGGCTCAGGTGGTTGAACGTCCTCCCATTCTTGGAGAGGTCCACCAGTTCGATTCCCAGTCAGGGCACACGCCCAGGTTTTGGGCTCAATCCCCAGTATGGGGCATGCAGGAGATAATCAATTGATGTTTCTCTCTCTCATCGATGTTTCTCTCTCCCTCTTCCTTCCTCTCTCTAAAATAAATAAAAACATTAAAAAAATTAAAGACACACTCCCTGTCTTAAACCTTCTCTAGCTTTCTTTTGTTCTTAGTTCATCGTGTAAATCAATTCTGAAAAACTTCTACACTTGGGAGGGTTCTTATTAAGGCAATGTTACTTTGTATATTAATAATAAGTAAATATAACACACTAAAATAGCTATTGCAGGTTTGAAACTCCCTACAGCTCAATTAAAGAATAGTTTTTAAATATGCTAAATTATTTTGTTGTAAGTTAGGTATTGTAAGTTCAAGAAATGGGGTCCCAAATATTTCTAATATGACAGACAAACTCCAATATCAGTGGATATTTTAGAGGGAAGATGAGTTTTGATTCTATAGGCAAATGAACATTTAGTGCTGAAAACACTGGTGTGGTTCAAAAAATGAGAGTGATCAACAGTATCAAAGAAAACACTAAATTATAATGAAAGTATTTATAGCATTATAGAACCTATGAGGAGAAACTATTTAGAGTGTGAAATTGTGGGTTCCATTTACTAAAGAAAATACAAATTATGAAATTTTATGGCGGTAAGACATCTTCTCATTCCTACTCCATCATTTTACAGATGTGGCTACTGAGAACCAGGAAGGTCATCAACACCAAAGTCCTTTGAGCAATTGAGCTGCAATCAGGCCCAGTTTTGTGCAGTTTCTGTTTTGCTTTAATGCAAACATCACAGCAGTGAAGAACCCTGTATCCTGCCAAGTTAAGCACAGGTGTAAGAGATGGGCAATACACAAGGACTTGATACTATTCCCAAGTAGTACCATTTATATGTTTTTTGGAATAGCCGTAGAAATGGCTTACATTGAAGAAAACATTAGAAGGAGGACAATAAAGAGTAGAGAGTAGATGGAGATCAATGCTCAGGGGGGTCATGGCTGAGGATTGGTAGCCAGGCAAGTGTGTTTGATGATTGGGCTTCCAGCAAGCAAGGCAGGGAGGCCGATTGTATTTAAATATGATGGGGTGGGGGGCTGCTTTGAGAGCTCCATGTTTATACAGTCCTTTCAGAGACTTCCATTTTGCTGGGAACTGGATGAAGTTGGAAAGGGAGTTTCATATTAAAAAATAATGCCATCATGTTGAACTCAAATGTTCACCACTCATCACTATCTGAAAATCCCCCTTCACTCGGAACACATATTTCTAGTGAAAAATTGATAAGAAGAAGGATTTTATTATTTCCATGTCCTTATGAATAACTAGATTCTCTTCACAATACTTTTACTGACCCTTTAAAAGAAATGGAAAGAGTTAACGTCCTGCTGACCCTGTGCTTGGCTGAAAGAAAAGCACATCGCCTTTATGATGGAGTAGAGAAGAGACAGTTACTATAGCACCTACGCATTTTAACTGTTTGACGCGCTCAAAAGAAGCTTTGGGCCCAGTCCACACCTGTAAGCATCTGGTCCCGAACAGATGAGCAATGTGAAAAGCTGGCCTGAGCTGTTCACCTCTAAATGGGAAGGAATACCAGCTACAACATGTTTGGTTTTTCTTACCTTGGGATTGAGATTCAACCCAGAAGTTAATCTTTTGTCTGGACTTTTCAGTGTCTTTCCGGAAGTCAACACTTTCGATCGTTGTGTGATAAAATTGAATCACACCATCTAAGTACTCCTATTGAATTAGAACAAATGGAAATCATATCAGTATGCTAATAGTTAGGACTGAAGCAGTCATGTGCCTCGTCACTCAAACTGGATGCGTGTCTGTCTCTGTCTGCCCCCAGTCCTAATAAGCCAGACATTTCAGCTGCTGCAGTGACAGTTTCAAACCTAGAATGCTTGGTTATGGGGCAGTCCCCAGTTATAATGGCACAAGGCTCTCCTACCAGATAGCCTTGTATTTGGACATTCCATTTGTGGAAACATCACAAGATAAATATCAAGCATCTTGAGCAACTTAGCTGTAAAATGCTTCTATTTCAAAAAATTAAAACTGCTGAGTGAGTTTCCGTTTGAAATGATAAAAAAGTTTTAGAATAGGGTGATGATTATGCAACATTGTGAATATAATTAATGCTATTGAATTGTATATTTAAAATTATTAAAGTGGACATTTTTGTTATAGATATACAATTTTTTAATTAATAACGTAATATACCAAAATCATCAATTTGTACATTTTTATTAGTATCGGTATAATATATGAATTTATATCTCAATAAAGCCAGATTTTCAATAAAATAGCATGTAGAATCTAATTTCCATTGTGAGAAAACTACTTATTTTGGTCCCAGTAGGCTGCCTCTCCCTTTCTAGGCCAGCCCTAGGCTGTGTGGCACATTTGCCATTGGTCACTCCCCTCTTGTTTAGTGCCGTGTATATGGCTCCTTCTAGTGGTGACAGAGGAAGCTGAAGTCCAGATTCAGATGAAACTTGTTCTAGGGACAAAGCAGTGTAGCCACAGAGAAAGACAGGTGCCTTTTGACTCCAAATACAGTCTCCTTCTGCTACCCTGCTCTGCTCCTTCAGTGAATACAATTTCTAGGGGCAGGGGGTTCAAGGGAGGAGAGGGCTTGGTGGTGGCACCAAAGGTGATTTTAGGGAAGTGCCTTAGAAGGCAGGGGTAGGAGGGACAATAGGAAGAGGAGCTACCAAGTGCAGCTACCAGGCACCTTGATTGGGAAAGAGAAAACAGCATTATCAAACTCACACGTGTTCTGAAGGCTATTAGACCTGTGACCCTCTTTCCACCCACTCTAGCCCACCCACAAGAAGCCTCGTAAACTGCTCAAGTTGAGAACTGGGAGGAGGGCCACAGAAGCCATGAGAGAGGAGGTGGGTCCTGGACATCCCACCAGACCACAGTGCACAACCTGTCATCGAGGTCTGTGTTCCAGATGGCAGGTGATTTGTAGATAGTATGCTCCATGATAGCTCTAAACACCGTTCTTGCCCAACTCACCTGACAGATTGGAAATTCCTGCTCTCCATAAAGCCTGTTAGCAATACTCAGGGTGTAATCAGATTTGATCCTATCTAGTTTGGAGAGAAGCTGCCCAAAGTAGCAACTGAGAAGTTCATTCTCATCCTTTGAAGACTCCACCTAACAAAAGAAACAAAATGTGGTCTTAGCCAGTTCAAAGCAAATTGGCTTTGTTACCATGTCGGTGAGCAAGATGAGAAGAGAGGAAGGAGGAGAGCAGAGAGGTCGCAGTGGAAAATCATCCGTGAAGACTACATCTGGAGACAATCTTCTCTGCACATTCCTCTTAAGCTTTTTAAGGTGGAGGGATATGTAATTTTTGCTCCTGGTTATGGGACAGCCAATAAAAATTGTGTGTGTCAGTACAGATTTCAGCTGGAAACAAAACAGGCAAAAGGGGGAGGGGAAGAGTAAAAACCCCACAGCTAATCCCTCCTCCCCTTACTGCCCTTCATCCTCAACCAGGCTCCATCCTGGGGAGCTGTGGTCTGTAAAAGTAGGTGAGTAGAATGGCTTTGAATAGAAGATACTAGATTCTACTCTTTAGGAAAGTGGCTTACAGCCAACTCTGTATAAGACACATAAACGATAGGAATTGTTTATGCGGGTCATATGCGGTTATTGCTGTTATTGGAGCTGTGGGTGATGGCCAGGATATAATGTGTGGGGATAAGCAACCATCAGCACCACAGGACAGCCAGCATGAATGGTTTGTGAAGACGAGGAGCAGGAATTTATGGGTGGCTCACCTGTGGGGTTGAAGGCTTGGTCACTCCTTTCTGCCCTTCCAGAGGGCTGTCAGCCAGCACCTTCTGCTCTTTGTATTTCAGACAGGGATCCAGTGCTTTGGTTTTCTCCTGGGAAAGTTCATCGAAATGGAGTACCTGCGTGATGATGGCATGGGGCCTTTCAGACAATAGGAACAGCTCAAAGTCTGAAGAGCTTCAGAAACATTTCAATCTTGTGACTATGACAATGATTACATAGTCCAACAAAACAATCAACAAAAGTTTAAAGAAATGTGGACATTTCTTTTGATTTGGGATGTGAGGTGGGATGGAGAGGAGGTCCACTGAATGCTACCCACACCCCTTTAGGACATGTAGGAATGAACATGACTAAATTAAAAGAGGATCAGGTATTCCTGAGACTGTCACCTGTGGCTATTGACCAGTCTGAATTAACTTTGAAAATACACACCAGATTTTGAAGACTTAGTATGAAAAAAAAGAAGGTAAAAGATCTCGTTTAAATTTTTAATTGTTTACATGTTTATATGATAATATTTTGGATGTATTGAGTTAAATAAAATGTATTATTAAAATTAGTCTCACCTATTTCCTTTTACTTTTTTAGTATGATACTAAAGATTTTTAAATTACATATCTGGCTCAAATTCTATATATGTTAGAAGGTGCTGATCTACAGTTTCAAATCAATCAAGTGAGCTAGGACAGGAGAAGACATGTTGCCCAGAGCATCACAGGAAGTTAGGAGGCCAGGTTTGCTAGCAGGTGACACCCAAGTGTCTGGAGAAAAAACACCTGAAACCTGGCCTGGATGATGCCAACCACACTCTAAAGCTAAGTTTTACTGAAGAAATAATACGAAATCAAAGTCAATGAATAAAGTAGAATGACCCTAAATGCATTCTGCCTTAATCCAAGAATTCACTCCTCTGTATTAGGGACAGCAGTCGGGTTCAGATCCAGGGAAGTATAAGACCAACCTCAGGATCCTATAATTTATTTGGGGAGTTGTTCTTTTTTTTTACTTTTTATACTAAATATTTTATTTGTATACTGCTGCCAGTGTATATAGAATAATCATTCTTGTGAAATAGAAATTCTGGAAAATTCAGAGAGGTAGGTGTTAAGGACTGAGAAAAGCAGAAGTTTGTATAGTGGCACATGTTATAGGATACGCTTTTTGTACAGGCTTCAGATTTAGCTCTCTTTGAATATTCAGCGGTTCAAGAAAAGTGGTTTAGAACACTTTCAAATTTCATTTTACTACAAAAAGAAACTTTCTGGGGTCTGAAGGGATTGGTACTTGAAGATACTTCAGTCAGCAGAGGCTGCAATTCTGCAGACAGAATTGTTTCCAATCTGCCGCTGCCTGGGAAACCTTCACGCAGTTGAGCCCGGCCTCCAGCCAGAGCTGTTGAACCACTTTCTCCATAGCGGTGACGCTGGAGGAACCAGACATGGTGCACGAAAGTGCCGGGCAGATTGGTCGGTAGCAGGTCGCTGGTCATGGGTCCTCGGGGTGAGAAGGCGGGGCAGCAACCAGAGGAGTTGTTCTTGCCACTTTCATTCATTCATTCTACATATCAGTATTGGGTGGCTACCATAAGCCACGCATTGTCCTAGGACAAAGATGTCTGCCCTCTAGGACATTATATTTTAGTGGGTAGGACATTCAAAAAGCAATAAATCCCTAGCAAGCTTGGCTCAGTGGATAGAGCCTCAGCCTGCAGACTGAAGGATCCCGGGTTAGAGATTCAGTCAAAGACACATGCCTGGGTTGCTGGCTCGATCCCCAATAGGGGCATGCAGGAAGCAGCCAATCAATGTTCTCTCTCATCATTGATGTTTCTATCTCTTTCTCCTTTTCTTTTCCTCTCTGAAATCAATATATATTTAAAGCAATACATGTAGTGAGTAATTACTGTATGCAGTATGTTAGAAAATGAAAAAACTGCAATACAGGGGTGGCAAAGCCATAAGAGGGAATCTTTAGGGACTGGGGCCAGGATGCAATGGTAGATTGAAAGGTCAAGGTAGGTAAACACTGCTCAAAGTCCTGAAGGAGAAAGTTCTAGATCAGTTATCTGTGGCAAGCAAAGGGAATGCATCAGGCCCTAAGGCAGCAGAGGATTGGGCTTTCCAAGAAGTCAGGAGGCCAGCATGGCTGGAGAGAGAAAAAGGGGGAATGGGGAAAAATGGTATCACCAGTTACCTGGAATTCAGATCCCCAGACCTTCATGAGCTATTGTAAGGACTCTGGTTTCTATCATTAGTGAAATTAAAAGGGGGGGTTTAAGCAGATAAGAAATCGGGTCTGACTTAGGTGTTCAAAAGACCTTTCTGGGAGCTGGGTGGAGAATACTGTCAGTGGAAGCAGGAAATTCCTGAGGAAATTGTATTCAGGTTAGAAGAGACCTCAGGGAGGTGGTGGGAGGTACCTGGTTCTGGGTAGATTTCAAAAGAAAAGCTGTCTTTTCTGACAAATTTGATGTGAAGTGAGAAAGAGAGTCAATGACTCTGGCATCTTTAGCCACTGGACATGAAACTGGTGCCTACTAAATATTTACTTAATAAAATGTATGAAAGAGAAAACACATACACATTAAAAATTACTAGCAATATTGGTATCAATAATTATAGAGAGAAAGAGCAACAGGCATGAATCAAGAAAGCTGTCAGACTGGAAAGGTTGTAGAGATACCATAAAGGAGACTGAAGATTCATTGAGCCTCCAAGAATGGTGGGATTGAAGAGGAAGCAAGGCAAGGATATAGATGAAGACTCTGAGGAAGTCCGGGGTACAGTGAGCAGCTTGGCTTGCCAAAATGGGATTAGGGTCTGGCTTTGAGAGTGGACCCAGAGTTACTGCAACCGTACCCGGTCTATCTGCTGTGCACTGTCATTTCTGGCCCCCAGACGGACCATGCCAAGGGCAGCTGAGAGGCTCAGAGGACAGAAGAAGATGTTCTTAGCACCATCATTTTTGCTTATCTCTTGAAAAAGATCAAAGCTAAATTTGGAGTTTGCTGCAATAAGAGAATCCATCTTGAAACTGATGACAGCCTAAATCAAACAAATAAGAGAAATTGATGATCAGAGAAAAATAGGTAGACAGTTCTCATTTTAAATACTCAAGCTATAATCATATACAGTTATTTAGTAAGCTATTAAAACCTGGAAGATAAAGTCACCATCATCTGATCTATAGATGTTGATGTCAGTATTGATAATAATACAGATAGAGGTCTATTTTTATTCAGTGATGTGGATTCTTTTGCTAAGGCGGCCATAACAAAATACCACAAACGAGGTGGCTTAACCAACAGGAACTTACTCTCCCTCAGTTCTGGAGGCCAGATGTCCATAACCAAGGTGTTGGCAGGATTGGTTCATTCAGGAGGCTCTCGGAGAAAATCTGCTTCATGCCTTTCCCAGGCTGCTGGTGGTGGCCAGCAATCCTTGGCATGCCTTGGTTTGTAAGAGCCATCATCTCTGCCTCTATCTTCACATATGTCTTTCCTTCTGTCTTCTGTGTGTGTACCCAAATATCCCTTTTCCTATAAGTCATTGGATTAAGGCCCACCCTAACCCAGTAGTTTGACCTCATCTTAAGTTGACCACATCTGCAAAGACCCTATTTCCAAATAAGATCACATTCACCATTACTGGGGATTGGGACTTAAACACATCTTTTGGAGGGCAAAATTCTACCTACTTCATGGTGGAACTTCCTTTATTCAGGTAAAATCAAGTCAAAGGCTACCATGTCCCCATGGTCAAGTTAGTAACCAAGAAAGCTTCAATCACCTCCTTCTCTTGGTTCTGCTTAAGACATTTGTCTGGACTGTCCCTGAATTCTCTATGGTAGAATATATACACAAAAAATTGTCATGAGTCATGTCCTTTGTTAACATTCTCACCTCATTTTGACTCATTCCATATGAAACCTATAGGACTTGAAGCACTTTAATCAGCCCTTGATATTATCCAAGAGGTAATAGAGGGTTGAAAGATGCTGAGGGTTTAGAAGTCATTTGGCTTCCCTTGACAACCATAAGTAATGGAATCAAAGTAAGGAAATAACTTCCCTTAGGACAGCCCTTGCCTCAGCCCCATCCCAATAATCTATTCCATAAGTATCAAGACAACCTTATATACTAGTAGATCTCAATTTGGACCTATCCCCCTCAAATAAAATGTCTTTTTTCTGTTGCCTATGGATATTGTATATTTCCAAGATGGAAATGTAAGCCCCTTTATTTGAGTTTTTAATCATCAGACATATGACACATAGCAAGCATTAAGAAATAGTTATTGCTTTGGCCCTGGTCAGGTAGTTCAATTGGGAGTATTGTCCTGATACACCAGGGTTGTAGGTTCAATGCCCGGTCAGGGCACATACAATAAGCAACTAATGAATGCATAAATAAGTAGAACAACAACTCCATCTCTTTCTCTCTCTCTCTCTACCTTCCTCTCTCACTCTCTCAAGAAGAAAAATTCAACAGTATGCAGTGGTTTTAACATTTTCCCACTTTAATAGATTTTTTTAGTCTATTAAACTTAATTCAAAAAGGTAACATTAGGTACCTTTTTAGAAAATGTGCCACATTTGTCTTTAATCTACACTGGAAAATATCCTTAACAGACTTGAAATAACCTTCCAAAATAATAAAATCCCTCAAAAATCCATTCAACTCAAGAAATCAATAAAACCCAATTATAAATAACTTTATAATAATAGTTACTATTTAATTTGAGCCTACAATGTGCCTGGCATTTCACAAATATTGTCTCTAATTCTTGAACTATCCCATAAGTCAGAAACTACCTTTATTTTATACCCAACTATGACGTGAGGTAGCTGGTGTGGAAATCAGTCCATTCAGTCTGATTTCCAAGCCACCCTTCCTCCTCCTACAGCATGCTGCCATCTGGAGCAGATAGCGCATTCACAGTCCCCAATGCCACCTCCTACCGACCATACTATACAGAAAGACATTAAGGAACAATTTCATTCAGAAAAAGAGAAGTGAAAACTCACATTGATATTAATAAAAATGTTATATTTTTGCCTGTACTACTTCCCAAGTGATTTATTATTTAAACTCTAGTAAGGTAGAATAAGGATTTTGATTCTCAAATGCAAATTTATTGTACAGATGGCAGAATATCAGTAATGAGGTCAGCCACCAGAACAATAAATTTGCATTTTGCTTTCACAATATTGACAAGTCCACTGCATTCATTTTTCCATGTGCTTTCTCATCTTGCAATCATAGCATCTATATTCATATATACGTTCATTTATTTGTATATGAAAGACAAATGTTCATATCTCTATTTCCCTTATGATTCTGTCTATAAGGTAATTGTTTTTGATATTTCTGTCTTTCCTTCAAAAGCATAATTCTTTTGAGCGAAAGTTCCGTGTTTTTTATTCATCTTTATATCCCATTAGTAAAGAATATAAACAGTGGTGCATAAAAACATTAATATTTATGGATTTATTTACTATCATCTGCCCCTTTTTCAGTAAAAATAATTCTAATATTTGAAACAGTAGGTGATAATTCGTATTTCCCATTGACTCTATACATTCTGCAGGTAGCTGTAATTAATAGAGATGTTACAGAGTGGGATCAACTTTGGGTTGATTTTCTACTCTATTAGAAATAGTTTAGTTACTAAAATACGGTTTCCTTTATTCTAACAATGTAAAAGGTTAGACTAAGTAGATTTTCTAACCGTCCAAACTATACTAAGTGTGAATTTCATATCCCAAAAATATTTTATGTCTTAAAATTTCCACCATTTTTACAAAGCTATATATAAGCTAAGAATAAAATTTCAACTTTACACAGATAGACACAATTCTGTTGGAATTGATTTTCAAACCTAATTATAAGTAACTAAAGGATAAGCCATATCTAAAAACAAAGAAATACTTGTGAAAGATTTAATCAAAGCATTTCCATCTCAGGTTGCCAAGAGAAATGTAAACTCATATTATCTAAAATACAGATATTCTAAATATTATACCATTTTATATTTCAGAAATTAGTGAAAACATAGTATACAATCTACCAAGTATGTAAAGACTTTTAAAAATTATTCAAACATCTGCATTTTTAAGAAATCAACCAGACACATCTGACATGTGACTAGGTGCTGGGGGGCTGAGGGAGGTGACAGATGATGGCTAATGTTTCCTGACAGGTATTGCCACATTTATCAAAACTTCAAAATATCGTAAAACAAATTACAAATTACTCATTTTTAAAAGACAGTTGCCTAACTAAAAACAGCATATCTTTTAGTATCAATACAATCTACTCTGGGTTTCTATTATTTAAAACAATTTTCCCATGCAGTGGTTTATTGTTAAAAATGATACTAGGCAACGCTAGCATTTACCTTCTTGCCTTCAGAGTTGCTGCTAACAGCTGGCGAGGTAAGTTTCAATCTGTATCCTGTCAGGAATGGAAATATATGATCTTGGCCCCTCCCATAGTGGCACCTTCCCAACTGCCTTTTGGAAGTCATAGTCAAATTATTATTGATTGATTAAAGGCCCTGGGAGGGGAGGGCGAGAGGGGATTGGCAAGGAGGATTGTATGGCAAATATATTTTTAAACAAATATTCTCTATGCTTTCAACTAAATTAAATATTTAACTTACTATATTTATATATTCTTTGCTCTTTATGGAGCCCTCATAATAACATTGAGCCATACCCTTCAACCCAATTCCCCATACTAGATAAATAGAGAAGCATCGGATTGTGTTGTTTTACTTCATACGCCCATTGTCTTGGATGTTCTCTTGTACTTGAATTTCTATATTATTCTAAACTTTTTAAAATTAGCTTTAAGCCCATTTCAATAACCTAGGATGTGAGTAGAGATTAGTATTTAATTTATTAACTAGAATAGCTGAATACCAATCACAAAATTAAAATTATTAAGAGAGACAGAGGGGAGGAGGGAGGGAATTTCTGGAAGAAAACTGATTTGCTAGGAGCTAGAAAACTAATCAACTCTGTCCAATACCTCCAGAAAGTCTGTCTACTTGAGCTTTCTTGCTGTGACCTGCTCACCTATTCATTTATCTCCTGAAAGGATTTTTAGAGCCCCAGACACCCCCGAGTCTTCATTTCTTGTTTTGTTTTGTTTTTGCTCGTTCTTCCTTCCTTTCTCCTTCCCTCTCCCTTCCTACCTTCCTTCCCTCCTCTTTTTCTTTCTTATCAGGCTTCTGATAAAAATTTCATGGAACAATATATTTCACAACTGAAAAAATAAATTTTAAAACTGAGCCAAGTATCTTCTGATGTTCATTTTAGCTCTAACAGTCTATGATCCTGATTTGTTTATGACCATAAACACGGGGTTGGTGAATAGGGCACGGAGGTTGTAACTGGAAGAGTAAAAACATTGGGAATCAACATGACTTAGGGACAAAATGAGGATCCTTTCTGGCCTGCTTCCCTTTTTTACCCCTTGTCCTTTTCTAACTTGTCTGACAACCATACAATCTCAGCTCCACCCCCGACAAATATGATTATGTTAAACATAGGGAAATTCAAAAGAAAACTTTGTAAAGTTTTGCCTTTATGGAGCATATAAGTTGCTCATATATAATCTACTATATGTTTACTTATATGGAGAATATAAGCTATTTATGCAGCTAGTGTAGAAATGAAACAAGTAAAATCATTTTTACAAGGTATGATATCGACCAGCAGAAATTAGTAGATGGGTGTCCGGGGGGTGGGGGGGGGGTCTTTCAATTCTCAACAGTAAACATAAAAAATAAATGTGCTTTCTCATTTGAAAAAAGCTTATGGGGTGTTTGTTTGTTTGTTTGTTTGTTTTTTCTATGAACGCCTCCATGAAATTCTAAAAGCCATCATTTCTCGGTTGAGTCTGGTCATTGCTTATGATTTACAAGAGGTTGGGAAAATTTAAACACTTGAATCAATTAACACTTTATTCCACCTGACCGATAACTGCTTCGAGCAGTTACCATGCATCACCGCCTTTCAAAAAGGGT